CTTGGCCTGCTGTGTTCATCCAGCGCTACACCTTGTTATCTCAGAGACTGAGGGGAGACTTGATAGAAGGCTATAAAATTATGAAATGCATAGATAGGTTTGACGGTCAGAATCCTTTTCCCAGAGTTGAAATGTCTAATGTTAGGGTGCATGCATTCAAGTTGGGAGGGGAAAGTTCAAAGGAGATGTAAGGGGCAAGTTTTTTTACATGGAGAGTGGTAGGAATCTAGAACGTATTGCTAGGATGGTGGTGGAGGCAGATACGATCGATGTGTTTAAGGGACTTTTAAAGAATCACATGAATATGCAAGGAATGGAGGGATATGGACTAAGGGCAGAAGGGGTTAGTTTAATTTGGCGTCATTTTTAGCGCACCATCGTGGGCCGAAGGGCTTGTTCCTGTGCTGTACTGTGCGCACCATCGTGGGCCGAAGGGCTTGTTCCTGTGCTGTACTGTTCTATGTTCTATGCCTGCATAGTCAACTGACAGCCAAATCCAAGGTTTACCCAGCCATTCCCACAGATGGTGGTAGCTGCTGGTGGTAACTTTTGTCCTTGTTGACGCTCTGGGCACTGTCTCACCAACCCTCCATCTTTACATAGAAGTCTGGCCACCAGACATAACTCATTGCCAACGTCTTCATTTTGGATACCCCTGGTTGGCCCTGGTGGAATTCAGACAACCTTTGCTCAGGACAAATACTCTCGATCCCCACAACAATATGCCATCCTCTACCGTGAGCTGATCTCACGGCGTTTTAATTCTAGCTGCAACAACTCTTTGGTTCTCCCCAATAATGTCAATTGTTTCAGTTTGGAAAGGACTGGATCTTTCTGCATTCAATGTCTGATATTGTTAGCTGTAACTGGTAATATGTCCAGAAAATTCAATGTCATGACACTCTTCCACTGGCGATACCACAGGTGGTATATCTGCTAATGGAAGACAGCTCAATGCATTGGTATTCTCTACTCGGCCTCTTGGGCGATGTTCTGATTTGTAATTACAAGCACTTAATACTAGACCCACTTCAGGATGAGGCACTGCCTTAATCCCTTTAAGCGGACGAAGTAGGGGTTTGTGGTACTAAGTTATCACAAATCTTCATCTATAACAGCATTGGTGGAACTTTTACTCCAATGCAACTATCAAGCCTTCTTTATCCATTTGGGTGTATTTGCACTGTCCATTAGCCAAAGTCTGGATGAATATGTTATTGGGCATTCCTCTCCAGTGGGCCACCTATGAGCTAATGCTGTCCCGATGCAAGGAGGTTAGATTTCGCACGTCAATACCAGATCTTTCTTGGGATCAGAGTGTGCCAACACATTAGAGGATGATTTTTTTTAACTTCATTGAAAGCTAGGGCTTATCTATGAGACCACTTCCAAGGCTGACCTTTTTTTTAAGAAGTTGATGCAATGGTGCTAGGATGGATCCCATATTGTGTATGAACTTTCTATAATAATTTACCAGCTCCAGAAATGACTTGAATTCCTAGACAGATATGGGGGCTGGGGCACCTTTGATTATTCTCACTTTATCTTGTAATGGGTGTAACCCAGTCTTGTCAAGCCTTAGACAATGTAGGCCACTTGGGAGGCCTGGAACACATATTTTCCCTTCTTAGGCATACACCTGCCTTGGAAAAATATCTTAGGACTATATCCAAGTTCTAAATTTCCTTATTATTTTTCCAATATCAGGCTCGTCACCTAGGAAAAGGATGACCTAAGGTAAACCTTGCAAAGTGTTCACTGAAAAATTGAACAGGCTGATGATACCTCAAATGGCAGCCTCATATATTGATAAGAAACCTTATGGGTACTAATTGCAGCATACTTCTGAGAATCCTGGTCTAAATACAATTGCAAGTAAACATGGCTCATGTCAAGCATCACGAAGGACAAACATCCTGTAGCTTTGCATACAAATTCTCTCTCCAAGGGATTGTGTATTTATCCAACTGCTAAAAATGGTTTACTGTTTGTTTAGAATCCCCACAAAAGCGAACTGACACATTGAGCTTCAAACATGCTACGACCGTTGGTGCCCATTGTGCAGATTAGACTGGTTTGAAGATGCCTTCATTTATTAGTCTTCTGAGTTCTGCTTCTACTTGTCCTTAAGGCACATGGCACTGGACAGGTCTCACGGAAGAAAGGAAGAGGACATGCCCCCATCTACGTTGACAGAGCTGAGGTGGAGAGGGTCGAGAGCGTAAAGTTCCTAAGACTGACAATAACTGACAATCTGTCCTGGACTTCCCATGTAGATGCAACAGTCAAGAAGGCACGGTGACTGAGTGGTTAGCTCTGCTGCCTTACAGCTCCAGGGACCCAGGTTCGATATCAATCCTTGGGCGACTGTCTGTGTGGATTTTGCTCATTCTCCCCGAGTTCTGTGTGGGTTTCCTCTGGGTGATCTGGTTTCCTCCCACAATCTAAAGATGTGCAAATTAGGTGGATTGGCTATGCTAAATTGCCCATAGTGTCTAGGGATGTACAGGCTAGGTGGGTTAGCCAGGGGAAATGCAGGATTACAGGGATAGGGTGGGTCTGGGAGTGATGCTGTTCAGAGGGTCAGTGTGGACTTGATGGGCCCACTGTAGGGAATCTATTCTATTTTTCTATTCTAAGGCACAACAACACATCTTCCTCAGGTGGCTTAAGAAATTCAGCATATCCATAAAGACCCTTACCAGCTTTTACAGATGCATTTTCTCTGGGTGCATAATGGCCTGGTACGGCAACTGCTCTGCCCAGGACTGTAAGAAACTACAGAAAGTTGTGTGCACAGCCCAGACCATCATGGAAGCCAACTTCCCATCCGTGGACTCCATTTATACTTCTCGTTGCTGCAGAAAAACTGCCAACATCATCAAAGACCCCTCCCACCCCAATAATGTTCTCTTCCAACCTCTTCCATTTGGCATAAGATACAGAAGCTTGAACGCACGCACCAACAGGTTCAAGAACAGCTTCTTCCCTGCCGTTATTAGATTGCTGAATGGACCCTCTAACTTCAAATAATGTTGACGTTGCTAATGTTGATCTTGCTTTGCACACCTCCTGTGCAGTTGTAACCTCGTAGGCCTCGCTCTGTCTCAGCACCCTATGATCTGTATGTCTTTGTTTGCTATTACCCTACCTGTACTGTTCACAAAACTATGCTTTTCACTATACTTAGGTACGTGTGACTACAATAAATCAAATCAAATCAGTTTTCTATCAGTTGTTTAGTTATGCCCGTGAACATTTGAATCCAGTTTCTATTGCTTATTTAGAAATATTAGCTTTTCACACTTTTAGTTTAGCATCAAAAACTGAAATATTAAATGTATGAAATGACAAAAATTGTGAATTTGAATATAAACAGTTACCTATTGTCAGCATTCTTAAGACACGGTAAAAGAATAGAAATGCTGCAACTAATATTTTACAGGATTTTCATGCTGCTTAACCAGTAACATACATTCATAGCATACTGTAGCATAGTAATTGAAATGTGCTCTGAAGGGTGTAGACTACTAAATGAATGTTTAAATTAGCATGCCACCATCATGAATATCATGAAACAAATGTTTTAAAAGTCTGACTGAAATATGAAAATTGAATTAAAAGTTGTATTTTGCAATGATCGCTGAATGAAGATCCCTACATGCTAAGAATCCATTTTGTTAAGAAAGCTGTAATTAGGGTCAAGCCTAATCATACAAACTTCACTTTATATATGTTGCTTTACAATACAAAACAACTACTGACCAGAGTTAATCTATCTCAATTCTAAATGTTTGTTTCTCACTGAATTGAGTTTCTTATAAGTTTAGCAGACTCCATTGTGTTTTGAATCCTAGTTATATTTTGCAGTTTCGCAAAAGACAAACAAAATCGCGCAGTAGGTAGGTATTTTACACTTATTATAGGGTTTTATCACTTTAACAGTGAGCTGGTTTTATTTTGTACAATTCGGTGGTTCTGCCTTTGTTGAGCTCATTCTGATTGCATATGTATTAGAATCATAGCACGTTTACATTTTAACACGCTTGAATTTTGTGCTTGCTAGTTCCTTGTTTGTAGTGTTAATCAGTATTGAATACTTACTTTCTCTCTGGCAGTGCTTAGGTACTTCTTTGAATCATAGAATCCCCACAGTATGGAAACAAGCCCTTCGGCCCAACAAGTCCACGCCGCCCCTCTGAGGAGTATCCCACCCAGCCCCATTCCCGTAATTTCCCATGTCTAACCCACACGTCCTTGGACACTATGGGCAATTTAGCATGACCAATTCACCTAACCTGCACATCTTTGGATTGTAGGAGGAAACCAGACCACCTGGAGAAAACCCACGCAGGCACGGGGAGAATGTGCAAAATCCATACAGACAGTTGCCCAAGACTGGAATCGAACCCAGGTCCCTGGCACTGTGAGGCAGCAGTGCTAAATACTGAGCCACTGTGCCGCCCTATACTTTTATGGTGCTCCATTCTGTGGCTGACTGTAATTTTATTTTGTTAATTGGTACTGTTTTTCTACAATTGCAGTGGTTTGTAGGTGGAAATGCCTCTCTTGGTTACATGACAATGGGAGGGACGTCTTGTCACATTGATGACCATTGTGCAAGAGGGAGAGAAATGCCCTATGGAGATAATTACTGCAGTAACAGGTCTTAGTAACCCTGATAGTCTCATCAATAATCTCTATGAAAGAAGATTTTCGTGATAATATGGCAACAAAATCCAGATCCTTTAAACAACAGGAAGTGCGCCATTAACGAGGTTGCATTTAATAAGTGAGTGTCGAGGAAAATATTTCAGTTGCATATTATGTCTATTTTGTAATATTTCGCGTTCTATTCTTAGCAATGCTTGAAGGAATTTATATGATTGCCCGGTCAAAATATAAAGGTTGAAAGCAATGCTGTTTTGTTAAAAATTTTAAAAACAGTATCAATTGTTCATTCTGCTTCCATAATCCTTTTCTGTACCCAAGTTCTAGGGATGTGGTTGAATGGGATTTCGGCAGTACATTTTTCTCACAATCCGCTGACAGACAGCATTCCTTCGCAGCCCACATCAATGTCAGGTGTGCACAGAAGTCAACTTCCTCTCTTCAAATTCAAAACTCGTCATGAAACCGTCAACTGGAGGCGAATTAGTGCCATTGACGTGGACAGAGTGGCTCATGAACTGGATTTTGTCACTTTGCAGGAAAATATAATGAATATCACCTTTTGCAACATGGATACTGAAAAATGTCCTTATTGTCAAAATCCGCTGGATCCTACTCTGTTAAAACTGTTCAGATTGGCACAGCTCACGATAGAATATCTTCTTCATTCTCAAGAGTACCTTACAGCTAACTTGCAGATGTATGAAGAAAAATTGCAAGCATCAGAATTTGGAAAAGAGCAAATCAAAAAGGAACTTTGCAATTTATCTGATGAAATGAAGTCTCAGAAAGAGGAATGCAAACGCAGGAAGCAGATCATTTCTTCTCAACAGATGATGATTCAGCCTGGTGCTAATAATTATTATAAGGTATGAAATGTAAAAAGAAACTGCATTTGGTGAGTTTGAAATCATGAAAATTTTCATATTTACGGGCTAGGAACAAAGCTTGTTAACGATGTTTTGGAATTTAAGGTGTGCTAAAAATAAATTGAAAAGGTTGTCTTATGTTTGGGACATAAACATCTTTTTATAGAGTTCAGCTTCAGTATAATAACGTCAAATGTGTGTGCATAGGTTGACCAGATGGTCCCTGGATATTTTGTCTTCCCTTTATAATCCAGATTAAAATCATAAAAACAAGGACTAGGATTTAGATCTATATTTAATTATTTTGTCTCATATACTATTAATTACAATATTTTGTTCTTTCTTATAGTGTGCTGGATCACACAGCATTTTTAAGAGTTGATATATATGCGTTTGATTTACTGAAAAGGGCTGTAATACATTGTATGTGTATACAGAGCCAGATTACACTTTTTGCATATGAGGTGGTTTTGCTTTGCCATTCGCAAAAAAAAAAGTAACTTAGGGAGATCCACTCCAAGATACTGAAGGTCCCATGAACACAACCTTTCAAAAAATTATATCCAATAAGATTGTCATTATTTTGGCATTTGATAGTGCAGAATAGAAAGACAATACAGAATCAGGATTAAAATCTTCCATTTTAAATGGAAAGTGAACTTGAGAGAAAAAAGTATCAGATTGGATGAGATTATGCTATTAAATCGAAGCTGCTCTTGAAAAACAACTTACAACTTTTGGGTGGCACGGTGGCTCAGTGGTTAGCACTGCTGCCTCACAGTGCCAGGGACCCGGGTTTGATTCCAGCCTTGGGTGACTGTCTATGTGGAGTTTGCACATTCTCCCAGTGTCTGTGTGGGTTTTCTCTGGGTGCTCCAGTTTCCTCCCACAGTCCAAAGATATGCAGGATAGGTGAATTGGCTATGCTAAATTGCCCATAGTGCCCAGGGATATCTTGGTTAGACATGGGGGAATGCAGGGAAAGGGAATGGGTCTGGGTGGGATGCTCTTCAGAGGGGCAGTGTGGACTTGTTGGGCCAAAAGGTCAGTTTGCACACAGTAGGGATTCTATGATCTATAAGGCCTTTGACATAACATAACCTCTCAAAGCATCGCAAAGAATATGACAATAAAAATCCTTCAAACCTTTCTTAATCTCTGTTTGCCTAGCAACTAATGCATAAAGTGGGAGACAGTGGTGTAGTTGAACTAGCAAACCAGAGGCCTAATTTTTTGGGGGGCATAGGTGCAAATGCAGGATGGCAACTGGTGGAATTTAAATTCATAATAGATCTGGAATTGAAAACTAATCTTAGTAATAGTGACCCACAAAATTGTTGTCCTACTCATTGTTGTAGAAACCTGTTTGGTTTAACAAAGCCCTTTATGGAACGAAATCTGCCATCAAAACCTCTTATGTGTGATTCCAGACCCGCAGTGGTTGACTCTAAGCTGCCTTCTTACTTAGTCTAGCAGTTACTATATTTCAGCAGCAGTAACACATGGGCAATATTGTTGACCTTGCCGCAATACCCAAATTTCTACGAACGAACGAACAAATAAAAATCACAGAGATTGAAGAATTTAATCCTGAAATCAATGAAACAATTGGAAGCAGATGAAGATTCATTAATTAATTGTCACAAACCTGTCAACAAGGACAATAAATCAAAAATAATGGTAACTACTGAGAAGTGTTACAGATAGAGGATTTCCATTGTTTCAAAAAAAATGAAACCTACCTGAAATTTATTGGATTTAATTTTGCTTTGATTGACCTTAGTTGATTTGAGTTATAAATTTGTTTGGATGTATCTGATAGTCAAGATAGATTACAAGAATATGAGAACCATTTAATTTGCAGTAGTAAATGACATTGAGTATTTGCTGTCTTCGAGCTATCACAGAATACATATAAAATCACCTTTTGCTGGCTTTGCGCATAAATTAGGAAAGGCCTTTTAACAAAAGACTGGTAAGTAAAATCAGCTTCACCGACTCCACTGGAAGCCAAAAATTGTCGAGACAACAGCAAAATTACTTTCCAGAATGCACCCAGAGAACCTTGGGGAAAATTGTAGAAGCGGTGAAAAATGTCTGAACAATTAATAACAGGTTGATTAAAAATTAGGTTCTTCTAAACTAGGTGGCATATATGTTTACCAATTGCTAAACAGTCGGCCAAAACATGAATGTGTGCTATTGTGAAGTGGCGACAACTATGGATTTCTCCACCTCTCAATACACAGTAATAAAATCTAAATGTTGGTAATATTTCTATAATGCTTCTATAAAGTATAATACTTTATACTGCTAAATGCTTCTATAATACTTCTGTCTATAATACGCGTATAAAGATGTATGAAACATCATCAGCGCTTGTTCAAAGCATTGTGAGCTAAAAATTTAAATCAGGGACTTGAGCAAAAACCAGAAATAAGACAGACCAGCTGAGGACATAGGAATGTTACATGCAGTATGATATCACAACTATGACCGAGACTTGGCTGAAAGATGGACAGTTTTGACATTTCAACATTCCTAAGTTATAGGGTATTCAGACATGAAACAGAGGAGATAGAAGTGAAGGAAAGTTTACAAAATTGATCAGTTATAGCAGTGAGGAAGGGTGATATTTTGGAAGGATGGTTAAATGAGCCAAATATGCTGAAGTGAAAATGTAAAAGGGGCAAACAGAAGTGAAGGAAGGGTTGCAAAATTGATCAGTTATTTCAGTGAGGAGGGATGATATCTTAGAAGGGTGGTCAAATGAGCCAAATAGGTAGAAGTAAAAATTGAAAGGGGGCAAACGGATTAGTGTGTATTATAAGCCCCAAAACAGTAATGCAGAGACAGAGGCGTAACTATGTAATTAAATTTCTGAAAAATGCAAGGATGATAAAGCAGTAATTGTAGGGATTCTAACTACTGAACTAATTAGAATTGTTTTAGTATGCAAAGTAGGAGGCAGAAAAATTCTTAACTTGCATTCAGGAGAACTTTTTTGGCCTGTACATAGAAAATCTATAAACAAAGGGGAATTTCTGGACCGAATAGCTGAATATGAGCCGAGGCAAATGAAAAGCATAATAGTAGGAGAATATTTTGGACACAGTGACCATAACTCAGATTTAAGGTAATTGGAAAATGACAAGGATGTGCCAGGAATAAAAGTTATAAACTGGCGAAACACTAATTTCACGAAGATAAGATATAATTCGGGCCAAGTGGACTTGGATCAGCTGCTTGCAGGTAAGACTGTCAAAGCAATATGAGGCATTGAAGGAGGGAGTAGTGAGAGTATGGGGCAAATATGTTCCCATAAAAACAAAAAGTGGTGCAAGGAGGTGTAGTCTAGGTAGCTGTGGGAGTCAGTGGGCTTGAAATAGCTGTCGGTTTCAAGGCGGTCACCAGAGATGGAGACAGAGAGGTCCAGGAAGGAGAGGGAGGTATCGGAGATGGTCCACCTTCCGGTCACGAACCATTTCAACTCCCTCCCCCTCCCACTCCCCCTCCCACTCCCTGAATGACATGACCATCCTATGCCTTCTCCAGTGCCACAATGACGCCACCCGCAAACTGGAGGAGCAGCACCTCATATTCTGCCTAGGGACCCTACAGCCCAATGGCCAAAACGTGGAATTTACCAGTTTCAAAATCTCCCCATCCCCGGCCTCATCCCATGACCGACCCTCCCTCTCATCCCCGCCTCCTTGACCTGACAGAACCTGTCCATCTTCTCTTCCACCTATCTGCCCCGCCTACCTTACTGACCAATCCCCACCATTATCTACCTGCACTCACCTATTACCATCCCACCTACCTTCTCCAGCCCCACCCCTCCTCCCTCTATTTATTTCTGAGCTCCCTTCCCACTCCCCATTTCTGAAGAAGGGTCCCGACTTGAAACGTCTACTTTCTTGCTCCTCTGCTGCCTGGCCTGCTGTGTTCCTCCAGCTCCACACTGTGTTATCTCTTATATATGGAATACTTGCCTTTGTTAGCTGAAGCATAGAATACAAGAACAAGAAGTTTTTGATGGAGTTGCATAAAATGTAATTGGGTCACAACTGGAGTATAGCATTCATTGAAAACAACAAATGCTGGAGATCACAGTGGGTCAGACAGCATCCAGGGAGAAAGGGCAAGCTAATGTTTCAAGTTTAGATGATTGTTCATCAGAGCTGGAGTGAAGTGTGAAGGGGGCAGCATTTATGCTATAGTTGGGGGGTGCTGTGGGAGTGGTGGGTGTAGAGTGCTGGTGGAGAAAAGATAATTCAGATTAAGTGATTGAAATGTGAGAATGGCAGAACAATGGTGTGTCTAACTGCCAGACTAGAAAGAACAGACAGTCCCACTGGGGTGGGGGGAGGGAAGGGAGGACATGGTGACAAAGAATGTAACAAGTAAAACTAAAAGAAAGGGAAACAATGTGAGTTGGTTCACAATTTGAAGGTGTTGCACTCAATATTAAGTCAAGAAGAGTGTAAAGTGCCTAGTATGAAGTTGAGATGTTGTTCCTCCCGTTTGCGCTGTGATTCACTCGAGCACCGCAGTATGCCGAGGACAGGCAAGTGGGCATGCGAGCAGGACGCTGTCTTGAAATGACCAGTTAGGGGAAGGTCAGGATCATGCTTGTGCACAGAACGGAGATGTTCTGCAAAGCGGTCACCCAGTCTGTGTTTGGTTTCTCCAATGTAGAGTAGGCAACTTTGGGTGCAGCGACTACAATACACAAGAATGCTGCTTCACCTGGAAAGACTATTTAGACCATTGGATGGTGAGCAGGAAGGTAGTGAAGGGGCAGGTGTTGCACCGTCTGCGGTTACTTGGGAAGGTGCTGTGGGAAGGGGGGTTGCTGTTGGTGGTCGTGGAATGGACTAGGTTGACCCAGAAGGAATGATTCCTATGAAATGCAGACAGGGTGAGTGAGGGGGAGAAGTTTGGTGGCGATCTGATGGAGTTTGCTGAAATGGCGGAAAATGATGCTTTGAATGCAG